CATGTCCTGGTCTTCAGGCACTCATGGAATAAGGGAGGAGCCACTTATGTACCAGGTGCTGTATATAATACAATGAAAGATGAAAGTCCAATTCTAACAGATGTTGCTGGAGTTGTAACAAAGAGTCTGTAGCATCTCTTCCAAGCTGAATGGTGTATATGGGTGTCTGTGTCTGTGTTTGTATGTAATTATTGGGGATTCTTGGTTATTTGCTCAAGGAAGAGAAAGGACCAAAGTGTCCTCACTGTAACTTCATGAAGAAATGCCACTATCACAGACCCAGCAACCCATTGCCAGCTGGCCTGCGAGGATTAATTAAATTCCAATCAGACATTTTAATGGAAAGACTTTGTAGTCTGTTGGCTTGACAACGGCTTTAAACAGCTGGTTTAATGATGGGTGACGAAGAGGGTTGCTGCTGGGAGTAAGTATGCAGGGCTTGGGGACAGAGCAGCCTGCTTTCCTGAGAGCTGTGGACTAAGCTGGGATGTTTATGGGGCTTGTGGAATGAGTGCAGTCCTGCTTGTCCTATGTGATGAAACACACAGCATGTTTTCCTTTCAGTCTAGCCATATCTATGTTTTATAAAGGGCATTATTTTGCATTTCTTGCCAATGAAGAAAGTAAGTTGTGCTGTAAATATTCTAATTATCTTCATCTCTTTATCCCCTGTAAGTGCAACCCTCCCTAATATTTCTCAAGCTTTCATGCCTAGTACAGGAACCAGAAATTGAGTGACTGAGCAGCAAGATAGGATGACCTGTGACAGCCAGGCATGAGGCTGTTTATAGCAGACTACTACTTTGTGACAGCAGCTCCCCCCCCATTAAACCCTCCAACAACCCCATGTTCCTACCATGACAGTGCATGCAAGTGCTTTGAGGAATCCCTTTATTCACAGCAGTTTTCTGGCCAGCAAGCAACAGCATCTCTGTCACTGAGTGTCACTAGGGCATCAGGCAGGTTCCGGGAGCCCTTGGTTCACATGGCTGGTCTAATCTCTCAGCCTGACTTGCCAATGTTTGCAGCTTGGTGTTATGTAGACACCATGTTGTAATCAAATGGCTACTCAAATATGCAAATCCTGGTGGGGGAAATACAATGTAAATTGTTTGTTTATCCCTCCCCTTCTCTTCCCCAAGGCCATCAATTATTAACATTTGGAAAGAGACTGGGATGTTTTCAAGCAGTTGTGTTTCCCACTGCGAGCAGTGAGGTCTCTTACAATCTGAGCAGAGTTTTTCTGCAGGGGGAGAGATTTGCATAATCAAGCCTAAAATATCACCAATACCAACAGACCAGGAGGCATTCATATGGAATCAGCCAAATATCCACCTCATTTATCCGCCTAGAGCTCTTGTTTTGTGTGTGTGTCTGAGTGTGCGTGTGTTTGCTAGAATCCTCAGACTTTTGGAGGCAATGAAACATCCGTATCAGGTAAAAATATGCAATCATTTTATTTGATGTTAGACTCCAGTGCAGAGGCTGTGTGCCTGAAGCAGAAAAAACAAATGACATTCCTCATGGTATAATAATAAATTAAATCACTGATAATTTGCTTCCTGAATAGTTCCCAGATATTCTGCCCAAGCTGGGCAGCCTCATTTTTTGTGGTGTTAGGATCACTCTCATATAACTCCGTCCAGGATTATACCACTTTAGGCTGCAGGTGGTGACTCACATATCTGAATGTTATGTCCTTTTGCCCCCTCCCTTAACATAGAAAGCTGGCATGTCAGTTAAAAAGATGTTTCCTCTAAGCTGTGGAGTCTTGTGAGCAAAAATTCTACTTTGTGAGCTACTGGCATTAAAGTTGTGAGCAGCTGATTTGGCTGCTGCATGAATTAGTTTGCTCTGGAGCCATCCTTCCTGAGCTAAGACAAAAATGTGTGAGCTGGAGGCTAAAAATATATGAGCTAGCTCACACTAACTCAGCTTAGAGGGAACACTGGTTAGAATGCATCTACTTGATGTCTAATGTTTTTGTATAGAGAAATACACTGTTACAGCAGATATACGAGTGTTAAAGCAGATATAGGAGTTTATCTTCTCTATTAGTTCTGTGGTGTTGTCTCATTAACACAATGCAATTTAGGCTCCTTTGAGTTAGATTTATTTGTTCATTAACTATTTATATCCTGCCTTTCTCTCTAATGGGAACCCAAAACAGCTTATGTCATTTTTCTCTCTTCAATTTTATCCTCCCAACAACCCTGTGAGGTAGACTAGGCTGAAAGTGTGTGACTGGCCCAAGGTCACCCCTCAGCCTTCCATGGCTGAGTAGGGATTTGACTCTGAGCCTCCCCAATCCTAGTCCAATACTTTAACCACTATACCATGCTGTCTCCTGATTTATAAAAGCACCATTCCAGTTCTAACTAAACAATGCATGGAGCAATTATGTACTTGATGATCAAGTCAGCCATTTAGGCTGTGACATTCAAGAATACAACTGATGGAAGGATGTCATTCTTTAAAAAAATTAAATTGTTTGCTTTCTTTGATGTTGTTATTTGGGATTCCTAAATCACTTTGATGGTGTTTGGAAAATATAGAAACTGAAAAAAGGGGGAGGAGGGGAAACTCAAACCAAAATCAGCTGTGAACTAAGAGGGTCAAGCTAACAACTATATTATATAAAATACAAATGTTTATTAGGGTGTACACATAGCTAAAACATACTGCGGTTAAAATAAATAGTCTAAGTCTTAGACTTAAAAGGCTTATATAGCCTGTTGTCTTGGAAGGTGATAACTACAGTCCTGAACTGGTGTCAGGCATCTGTTTTCAGTCTTTATTAGTGTGAGCAATAGATATTTTTAAATAAAAGTTCTGCACACAAAACTGTGAATATAGCCAAGACATATGAGAGAGAGAGAGAGAGAGAGAGAGAGAGAGAGAGAGAGAGAGAGATGAGCTGCTGCATCGCATGTCATCTGAGCACATGTATCTATGTCAAGTTTATCTGAGAGGTAGGAAAAATAGCAGTTGAAAAAAGAAATCACAAACATTGTAGCAAAGAGTATTGTTTGAACACAATCAATCCCATACAGTCAGAATAGGATATCTGGATAGCAATTTAAACTTGGTAACGTTGAAAATATTGTATTATCAGGGTTTCCAGTTTTGGCAACTTGCTGGCAGGTGTGCTCCATCTCAGCTCCGATCAGAGTGGCCCGTTATTGTGCTGGACAGGAGGGGTCCTGGATGATTCCGGGGACCCCCAGAGCCCTCGGAGGGGGCTCATAGCCTAGGGCATGAGGGGTGCCTCTCCTGAGGTGACAGCCGAAGGATTAAGGCTCCTCTTTGCCCCGATAGGTCTCGATGCCACAAGACCAGCCATGGCATCAAAGACGCACGCCGGAGCAAGCGTGCAAGCGATCGGGTGAAGGGAGATATTCCCTACATTCTGAATCAAACCACGGAGTAAAGCGTGAGTGAAATACTCATTTTAACAAAGCAAGCAATTAAGCACGAACCGCAAAGCTGCCCTGAAGCCTTAGAAGTAGTGAGGGGGAGGAGTTAATTCTACCCTGGAAAGAATACCCTATAAAAAGAAGAAAATGAGGGGCAAAGAGACAGCTATGACGGGAGAAGGATAAACTAGTCGAGAGGTGTGCAGACTAGTAAGAAAACTGTAACTTACAGATCTTCAGAGACTTCAAAGAACTTTTCCTTTTAATGTAAACATGTCACTTTGGGCTGAAAAAATGGCATCCAGGGCAAAGCCTTCTTCAGGAACTACCAGCTCAACGACTCCAGTCTCCAGACCGGAAGTAACCACAGACTTCCCTAAGATTGGGAAGCACTGATAGCTCATCGAGTAGCTCTTCAGAAGGAACTCTGGACTCTGAATCAGAATTAGGAGAAGCAGCTCCTAAGCCTCTTAAAATTAAGCTAACCTTTGATAAAAACGTAGAGGAAAGAAAGCCGATAAATAGCTTAACTCTGAATGTATGACTTCTTTTTTATTTTTTATCGAAATACTAAGATGCATCCACTGACTAACTATGCTTGTATTTGTTTGAACTAGTTTGCTTGTTAGGGTTGTTTGAACCCTAAATATTAGAGAAACACCAAGAAATTGATGTATAGACCATTATATGATCCTTGCTAACTCTGTATTTTAGTTTAGAAGATCCCTTACCCTTATTCCCTGTAGTGTGTAGAGAATAAAAGCAATTAAAATATTTTTAAAATATTGTGTTGTCATCATACACATTATAACACATTCATTAATTGTAGACAATGGCTGTGATCAGACGAGCCATTTGATCTGGTGTTGTTGCTATTCCCTTCCAGATTTCAAAGGCACAATCAGACAGCAACATCTGTCTCACATTCCCCAGTCATCAGCACCCTCTTCTCACCAGTCTTCGAATTGGAGTTATTTGACACCAGGGAAAGTCCAATCCTTCCTAGTGTCAGCGGTCCCACTCTACAGCTCTGGAAGTCTGCTAAATCCATTGCACTCTCAAATCATTTGGGAAGTCTGAATGTTCCCTTCTGGTTTTGGCTCTTTCCCCCCCTTTTTTTTGAGGTGCATATATCTGCATATTCGCACCATGGCTATGAAGCATGTGCATTTATTTTTTTTTACAGACATTTTACAGACATCCCTCTCTTTCCCCTCCCCCCTCACGAGAGCTGCTCAAAACTGTTTTTCTTTTTAAAACTTCCAAAGCAGTTTTAAAAACACTTGCCCCACACTATACTACATATCCCAGCAGCCTCCTCCAGAAATCCCATTGGCCACCAGTCACCACCATCCTGCCAGGAGGTCCCCCCAGGGAAAAAAAAAATCCCTGAATGTTTCTGCTCCCAGTCTTCCTCAGGCCTTCACTTCTCTATTCATAACATTTTTTCATTAGAATTCATTCAAACGTGCTAGATATCAAACTGGTCTTGACTTAATTTCTAATGTATGGTCACTTAGTCAACATTTGCTTCTGTTTTTTTCTTACATTTAGTGACCTGTAGTCTGTCTGTCTTTCTTCCAGATTCGAGCAGATGGGCCTCCCCATGGTGGTATTCAGTATGAAGTGGTGCCAATTTTCAAGGACGGAAGTCCTATCCTTCGTGACATGGCCTTTTCCACAGATCATAATTACCTCTATGTGATGTCAGAAAGACAGGTAAGCTCCACTTTTAAACTAGGCCCTCTGCAGAAAGCGTGCTGCATACTGTGAACTGTTCTCTGAGTTAGCCTTTGCTTCAGATATGGATAGTGCCAGTGGAGGCTTTATTTTTAACTGTGTCTGGCCACAGACAAACCATCTGTGCCCCAGGGAAGAGGAAACGTTCCTTCTCACTGGCACTCCATTGTCTTTAAGAAATGAGAATTGGACAGAGCCACCAAGAATGAAATATGGTTTGGGGATTTGGACTTTGGTCTATTAAGCAAAGCACCTCTCAAGCAAAAACCTCATCCATTCCTCCCTTTCCATGTGTTTGGCAGCAGGTGATATTTTCATAGGATTGTCCTTTGTTGTTTAGTTTGGCTTTTCTGGATTTCAATAGGTTTTGTTTCTAAAAGAGACCATGAAACTGTAAGATTGTAACATATGCAATTGGCAACAAACGTTGACATCAGGCAGTCTGCGTTCAAGAAAAATCAAGATGCTGTTTTCCTACATGTCTGTCTCATCCTTGTTAAGCAATATAAACATACTGAAAATCCTATCCCCAGTTATCTTGTCCCACCTTCCCCTATCATAATAGGGTGAATTCTGTTCCATATGGCCATTCTCAATGTTTTTAATACAACACAGAGAGCAGAAAAGAATGGTTTTTAAACTGAACAAGATTTGGTAACTGTGGGACATTAACAAATACAGGCTTGGATCCCATAAACCAACACCAGAAAGCACTGACAGTCCAGGATCTTTCCCACCCCGCCAGAACCATTTCCACTCCCAGGACAATTTATTCCCAGGTTTGAGGGACTTACATGTACTAATAGCTGCACCAGTTGGGTGGCTGTAGTGGGAGGGGGAAAGGGAATGAGATTGCCCTTTTTGCCTCTTGTATGACATTGACAAGAGGGAAAAGAAAAAAAATGATTTCACCCCCTTCCCACTACAGCTGCCCCACCGGTGTGGCTGTTGATACATGCAAGTCCCTTGACCATGGGAATAAACTTCCCCAGGATCAGAAATGGCTCCAGATGGAAGGAGAGAACAGGGAACATCCCACAGTCTTTGTGTCCCAAAATCACTGGATCTAACTGTGTCATTTCTCACTTTGACAATCCATTTATAAGACTCCTGCAATCTGGTCCTAGGCCTATAGGCAAAGTTAGTGGCTTTTGAATTCTCTGAAGGTACTCACATTCTTATTGTCTTCTTGATTACTTACATTTTAAAAATGTTTGACATATAGAACTATACATGAAACGACCACTCTTTCAGTGTTTTGCTATGACCATAATGGGGGCGGTGGTGGGGAGTCTACCAGTAGTGGCATTGCATAATAACATTATTGTGAGGGAGCCCCAGAGATTCTGATGTTTTATCCACTGACTGCTCAAAAATTTGCAATTCTTGGTAGGTTTGGTCCAAGATTTCATGTAGAATCAGTTCAGCCTCCAGTTGATTGAAATCCATGGCAAAACATCCGTGGATTCTATTGAAAACTCTGTATTTCCTGCCATGATAATAGCTTGCTTCATAACATATGATCATATTTCTCATGTTTGTTCTTTCTCTGATGATCAGGCATAATTTCAGTGTTCTTTTCCAGAATATATCTGTTCCCTGTTTTTCCTAGTGATTCCTGAGCTGTTTATTCGTGAAGTAGATTTCTCCCTTGTGCAAGGCCTATCAGTGCTTCCTTTGTGGCACTTCCTATAGGCATCTGGAACAGACATGTGTGGTGATGCACCATGCATATTCACACTTTAGCCAGTTCAGTCCCAATTTTGATGGAATTTAAGTATAAGTATGTATTGGGATATTTGGTTAATATAGCAGAGTTTGCCCAGTCATGGAAGGATGATATTGAGTGCAGTACATAATTTCCCCAAGAAATATATTGCAAATGTAAAACATATGTTTATTCAAGTAGATTCAGTTCCCATTCAGGTTGTAGCTGAAAGGAGCAAGAGAAGCCTGATTTAAGGAGTAATTTCCCTATCACAAGTGTTACCCCAACCAGCTTTATTAAATAACTAGGATCCAGGCTCGTTGTAAAAACAATACAACAAGCTCTAGATGAGGCCGTGGACCAACCAGGGAGGCCGCCAGCTGGCTGGCTCCCTCCTCTCTCTCTCCCGTCATGGGGCGGGGGCGCAGGCAGCCTGGGGTGTGGGGAGATGTGGAGGACGATGGCAGAGCCCGCCACGATGGGCTTGGTTTGCTTACCCCCGGGTGAGGTGAGAGGCACCTGGGGATGCCGCACAGGATCTCCCCAGCTGCAGCATGCCTGCAGAGCTGCCACCTCTACCTCAAGCCAGGCTCAGCCTCTTCTGAGTGAGCCGGTGGCTTTCTGGCAAGCAGCAGCAGCGGAAGAAGAGCCCAGGACAGGGGAGACCAATGAGAACTGCCCGGTTAGGTGCGATGACCCTTCCTAGCTGCCTGCTCCGAGGAGGAGGAGTGCCCGCACAGCAGGGAGTGCTCCAGGGGCGAAGTGGCGGCAGTCTCGGGCTGTGAATGGCCTTGAAGCCAGAACCTGCCAGCCAGAGTGGGGAGCACACGATTCCTGGGGCCCCACTGCCCTTTCCAAGTGGCGGCGGTGGCAGGACTGAAAGGGGCCAAGTGTTGCACTTTTGGGGCTGGGCGGGCGCCAGCCATGAGGGGATGGGGCTGCCTTGGCATGGAGCACCATGGCGGGGCTAGTGTGTGAGGGTGCCATGGTGAGGTGCTTGCAAGGGGGTGCTGAGAAGGGCTGTGCGCTGCTGGGGCAGGAGGGAGACCTGCCGGCCTTCCACAGCCTGCTGGGTGAGGGCGTGGTGGGGCTACTGGGCAAGGGCCGGCACCCCCAGCTCGGCTCTCTCTGTGGCAGGTGCGGGGCCCAAAGCGGAGTGGGGGAGGGTGGGCGGCTCTGCCCCTGAGCCCCTTGGAGGGAGGGAGGAAGAGCAGGATCCAGGCATGGAGGAAGCAGGGTTTTCCAATGCGACTCGAGCTGGTGGTGGTTGGAGAAACAGACGGGCCACTGGCCTTGGTGTGTAGCCGGTCTGCAGAAGCTCATTGTGCGGCTTCTTAACAATGGGATCCGCTGGGCCCACTGCAGAGGCGTTTGTCTCCATCCGGTGAGGGCTCCAGACTCGCTTCTGTTGTTCCAGTTGGCAGCTTTGGTGCTCAATGCCTGGCTTGTGAGCTGCCAAGGTCCTTTTGGGAGGGGAAGCAACTGTCTTCTGAGGAAATTTGTGGCCAGCGCTGCTGCTGTGGGCGGGCCTCAGGCAATGCAGCCAGTGGATGGGGACACCTTCTTATTGGCAGTTCAATCAACCAATTGATTTGGGAGTACATCGAATCTTGCCACTCCAAAACAGAATTATTATATAGGAAAGATATCCTTGCCTTTAGTTTGAATAGGGAATTAGCGTCAAAGGCAGAGCTAGTGAGAGGTGGGGCAGTAGCAAGAATCTGCTATCAATGTTTATGGCTGTAGTTCCGTTAAGACTCCTGGTTGAGTCAACGCCCAGTCCAGATTGTAAAAGAAATGGGTTTTATTATGAAAAATTAATACTTTAGATATTTACACTCAAATCAAGGATTGCAAGCACACAAGAAGAAACAAAAAGAAGTTAGCAGACAGATAGAGGGGTGAGGAGGTTGGGGTAATACTATACCTATCCAGACGTGCAGGGGCCCATTTCTGAAAAGGGAGGGGACCCAAACTGTGGAGTTTGGGGGTGCATCTCTACCATAGGCTGCCTCAAAGTGACACACCTTGATGGCCATGTGCTTGGATGGATATAGACATTGGGGGGCTTGTCTCAAGTGGAGACAAAATATTTTCTGGAGCAATAGGGGGTACAAGGGGGTGTGACACCAGGAGGAGTAAACCTAGGTGTGACCAATGAAGTCCCAGAGGGGCAGAGTCTGGATTTACAGTAGCATTGATGAGATTAGCCAGGTGCTGGATGGCTGGGCTGGGAGTGTCCAGGGGTTCCCAGGTAAGGGACAAAAGACTAGATATATCTTGATGGGATTTATCAGTGGTAAAACAATGTAACTTTGGGAACATGGTGATGAGTTCCCAGGACTGGACAAAAGGAACTGGAGGTTTCTTCTACATGCAAAGTAGACGTTCAGGTGTAGTTCCTGATTGCATCTCTGGTGGTAAAAGTTTATGTGATTGTCCATTTGAACTCATCAAAATGAAACAATACTGCTTGATGAAGCACCTGGTCTTGGGAGTGTGGGAAGCAGGCCTCGGCTCCTGCCGGAGCACACCAGAGCACCACTCCGCCAGTCAGGAGCCCATGGGGCGGGCACATAAGCCCTGCCCCCTGCTCCCACCAGCCATCAGTTGGGCAACCGTGGGGGGGGAAGGTTCCCCTGCCTCCCTGAGCCCCGGGGTGGTGGCCTTGGACTCGTAGGGGCAAATTCCACCTCTCGCGCGAGAGGTCATTCTGGCTCCCCCAGCTCTCCTTAGGGGATCCTTAAAAAGTTATGGGAACCATTGCTGTTCTCAGCGGCAGCTGCGATGCCCACGGGGGGCAGGGTGAAATGTTCTCCCACCTCCCTGAGCCCCAGGGTGGTGGCCTTGGACTCGTAGGAGCAGGGCTCTAGTCGGGGGGGAGCTCTCAGGTACGGAGCTCCGGAAGAGAACCTCTAGGGGGCGGGGCGGTCACGTGGTGAAGCCCCGCCCCCTTCTTTACCCTGCCCTCTGCTTCGATCCTCATTCCGTTTGGGAATGAGGATGAAGCAGGAGGGTAAGTAGCCGGGCCTTCTGACACACTTCCGGTGATGTCAGGGGGTGTGGCCTTCTGTCACTTCCGGTGATGTCAGGGGGCGTGGCATATGCAAATAAGTTATGCTAATGAGTTATGCTAATGAGCTCCGGCAGCTCTTTTTCTACAACAAGACCCCTGCGTAGGAGCAAATTCCACCTCTTGCGCGAGAGGTCATTCTGGCTCCCCCAGCTCTCCTTCGGGGCTCTTTAAAAAGTTATGGCCACCGCCGCTTTT